CACCCTCCTTCCCAATCCCCCCGCCCCATCCCATGCTTTGTTTTCTATGTCCATTGGTTATGCATACATGCATATATGTTTTCTGGTTTATCTCTTCCCACCTCCAACCAAACCCTCTTCTGAGGGTTGTCAGTCTGTACCCTACTTTCGTGTTTCTGGGTCTACCCTGTTCCTGAGACTGTTATGTTCATTATATTCCACAAATGAGCGAGATCATGTGATATTTGTCTTCCTTTGCTTGGCTTGTTTCACTTAGAACAATAGTTTCCAGGTCCTTCCATGTCATCTCAAAGGATAAGAAATCTTTCTTTATTATAGCTGAATCGTACTCCATTGTGTATATGTACCACGGCTTTTTTATCTATTTGTCTACTGATGGACACTTGGGCTGTTTCCAGTTCTTTGCTACTGTAAATAGTGCTGCTATGAACATGAGGTACATATATTCTTTCTGATTGGTGTTTCAGGATTCTTAGGGTATATTCCTAGAAGAAGGATCACTGGGTCAAATGAAAGTCCAATTTTTAATTTTTGAGGTAACACCATATTGTTTTCTCCGGACCGCAGGCTGACGCTCTAACCGCTGAGCCAAACCGGCCAGGGCCCATATTGTTTTCTATAGTGGCTGCACCAGTCTGCATTCCCACCAGCAGTGCACTTGATCCCCTTTTCTCCACACCCTCGCCAACATTTGTTTGATGATTTTTTGATGGCAGCCATTCTGACAAGTGTGAGATGATACCTCATTGTTGTTTTAATTTGCACCTCTCTGATGATTAGTTATGTTGAGCTTTTCTGCATATGTTTTTTGGCCATTTGTATGTCCTGTTTGGAGAGGTGTCTATTCAGCTCCTCTGCCCATTTTTGAATTTGGTTCTTTGTCTTCCTTTTGTGGAGCTGTAAGAGTACTCTACATATTTTGAAATTAACCCCTTATCTGATGTATCATTGATAATGATGTTCTCCCATACAGTGGGTTGCCTTTCCATTTTGATGATTGTTTCTTTCGCTGTGCAGAAGCTTTTGAGTTTGATGTAGTCCCATGTGTTCATTTTTTCCTTTGTTTCAGTTGCCTTAGGTGATGTATCAGTGAAAATTCTGCTGCGTGTGATGTCCGAAATTTTGATGCCTACATTTTCTTCTAGAGTTTTTATGTATTCACAGGTCACATTTAAGTCTTTTATCCAATTTGACTTTATTTTTGTGTATGGTGTAAGTTGATAGTCTAGTTTCATTTTTCTGCATATAGCTGTCCAATTTCCCCAACACCATTTATTAAAGAGGCTGTGTTTACTCCACTGTATGCTCTTGTCACCTTTGTCAAATACTAATTGAGCATTTTGCCTTGGGTCCATATCGGGGTTCTGTATTCTGTTCCACTGGCATATATGCCTTTTCTTGTGCCAGTACCAGGCTGTTTTGATTACAGTGTCTTTGTAGTATAACCTGATATCTGGTATTGTGATCCCACCAACTTTGTCCTTCTTTTTCAAAATTGCTGTGGCTAGTTGGGGTCTTTTTGGTTCTATATGAACTTTTGAAGTATTTCTTCTAGTTCTGTGAAGTATGTCGTTGGTATTTTGATGGGGATTGCTTTGAATCTATAGATTGCTTTGGGTAATATGGACATTTTAATGATGTTAATTTTTCCAATCTATGAAATAGGTATGTTCATTCACTTTTTTATATCTTCTTTTATTTCTTTTTTTCAATGTCCTGTAGTTTTCTGGAAATAGGTCCTTTACTTCTTTGGTTAAGTTCATTCCTAGATATCTTACTTTTTTTGCCGCGATGGTAAATGGGATTGTTTTTTCAGTTTTTCTTTCTGTGAGTTCGTCATTGGTGTATAAGAATGCCGTCGATTTCTTGACATTAATTTTGTATCTTGCTACTTTGCCAAATTCATTTATTAAGTTTAGTAGATTTTTGATGAAGTCTTTAGGTTTTTCTATGTATAATATCATGTCATCTGCAAATAATGACAGTTTCACTTCCTCCTTTCCAATTTGGATCCCTTTTATTTATTTTTTTCCTGTGTGATTGCTGTGGCTAAGACTCCCAGTACTATGTTAAATAAGAGTGTCGAAAGTGGACATCCCTGTCTTGTTCCTGTTCTTAAGGGCAATGTTTTTAGTTTCTGCCTATTAAGTATGATGTTGACTATGACATGGCCTTAATTATGTCAAGATATGATCTCTGTATTCCCACATTGCTGAGCGTTTTTATCATAAATGGATGATGGATTTTGTCTAATGCTTTTACAGTGTCTATTGATATGATCATGTGATTTTTATTCTTCATTTTTTTTAATGTGGTATATCACATTTATTGATTTGCAAATATTGTACCAGCCTTTCATCCCTAGATGAATCTCACTTTGTCATGGTTAATAATTTTTTTGATGTATTGCTGGATCCGATTTGCTAATATTTTGTTCGGGATTTTGGCATCTGTGTTCATCAGAGATATTGGCCTGTAGTTTTCTTTCTTTGTAGTGTTTTTTTCTGGTTTTGGAATTAGAATTATGCGGGCCTCATAGAACGAGTTTGGAAGTCTTCCTTCTTCTTCAATTTTTAAAATAGTTTGAGGAGAATGGGTGTTAGTTCTTCTATGAATTATCGGTAAATTTCCCCCATGAAGCCATCCGGGCCTGGGCTTTTGTTTGCTAGAAGATTACATCTTCAATTTCTTCTGTTGTAATTGGTCTGTTCAAGTTTTCTATCTCTTTTAGTCCAGTTGTGGGAGACTATGTGTTTCTAGAAATTTGTCCATTTTGCTCAGATTGTCGAATTTTTTGCCATATAATTTTTCATAGTAGTTGTTAACGATCTTCTGTATTTCTGTGGTGTCAGGTGTTACTTCTTCTCTTTCATTTCTGATTTTGTATATTTGGGTTTCTCCCTTTGTTTCTTGCTGAATCTGGCTAAGGGTCCATCAATCTTCTTTATCTTTTCGAAAAACAAGCTCTTTGTTTTATTGATCCTTGGAATTGTTTTTTGGTCTCTATGTCATTTATTTCTGCTGTAATCTTTACTATTTCCTTCCTTCTACATGCTCTAGGGTTTTCTTTTAGTTTTTTCTCTAGTTCTTTAAGTTGTGAGGTTAGGTAGTCTATTAGAGATTTTTCTTGCTTCTTGAGGTAGGCCTGTGGTGATGTGAACTTCCTTCTCCGAACTGCTTTCCCTGTATCCCATAGGTTTTGTGTTGTTGTGTGTTCATTTTCATTGGAGTCCAGGAAGTTTTTAGTTTCTTCCTTGATCTCCTCGGTAACCCATTCATTGTTTAATAACATGCTATTTAGCCTCCATTTTTTCAAATGTCTCTGCATATTCTTGTTGCAATTAATTTCTAGTTTTATGCCATTGTGATCTGAGAAGATGCTTGATATGATTTCAATCTTCTTGATCTTGTAAAGACTTAGTTTGAGTCCTAACATGTGGTGTATCTTTGGGAATGACCCTTGTGCACTTGAGAAGAATTTGAATTCTGTAGTTTTGGGTTGTAATTCTCTGTAGATATCTATTAAATCCATTTAGTCTATAGTGCTTCATTTATAGTCTCTGTTTCCTTGCTAATTTTTTGTCTAGATGATCTATCCAGTGATGTCAGCGGGGTGTTGAAGTCCCGTGCTATGATTATCCTGCTATCGATGTCTCCTTTGAAGTCTTCCAGAAGATTTTAAATATATTTTTGTGCTCCTGAAAGATTTATGTGATATGAAGAGAAACCAGAGTATGATCTTTTTTTTTAAAGAAGCCTAGGAAGAAGGATCAAGTCACTTATTAGAGAAAAATAAGTTAGGTTAACTTGTCCCATCTTCATGTCAGGAATTGATGTCAGAAGACATCAGGGCAATACCTTTACACAATTTTGAGGGGAAAAGTGTATGATCCAGGTTGTCATCCTCACAGATAGGTAACACAAAGTCATTCTGAAAAATGTAAGACTTTTCATACACAAATGTTGATAGCAGTTTTATTTCTACTTACCAAACACTGGAATCAGCCCATATGTTCTTTGATGGGTGAATGTATAAATAAACTGTGGTGCATCTACCCCGTGGAACTACTCAGCAATAAAAAGAAGTAAACTGTTGATACAACAAATTGGATGAATCTCAGATATATTATGTTGTGTGAAAGAAGTCAGACTCAAAAGAATACATACGTCATGATTCCATTTCTATGACTTTCTTGAAATATCACTATAGACATGGAGAGCAGATTAATGGTTGTCAGGGGTTAGGGGCATGTAAGGTAGGAGAGAGTTATGTGTGCTTATAAAAAGGCATTTGAGGGAAACTTGTGCCAGTGGAACTGTTCTTTATCTTGACTGTATTGCTGGTCATGTAAATCTACATGTCATAAAATTGTATAGTACTTAATAGATGCAAACAAATGAATGCAAGTAAACCTGGAGAAATGTGAATAAGATGAGTGGATTGTATCAATGTCAAAATCGTGATTGTGATAGTGTGCTATAAGTTTGCATAATATGACCTTTGGAGGAAACTGGGTAGGTATGAAACGAACCCTTTTGGTATTATTTCTTATAACTATATGTGAATCTATAATTATCTCAATAAAAAATTTCAATTTAAAAATGTAATGCCGATGCTCCAAGCGCAGCATGTCTCCCCACTCCCCGAACTTGGCATTCGGCTCCGTTAGGGCATTTCTGCCTCTTTGTTTTAAACTCCAGACGGGTTTTTTCTCTGGCTCTTCGGGGGGCACCCAGAAGGGAGCTGCTCCCCTCCCAGCGCTGCCACCGCGTGCGCCCCACTGGTCTGCAGCCGAGATGGCAGGCCTCAGAATGCAGCAGAGGGCTCCTGGCTGCCACATCCAGAAAATGGGAAAAGAGGAAAGGACAGAAGGAAGGTGCAGAGGTGAAGACACCAAGTGCGGAGTGGTGCAGCGGCCAGGTCGTCGCAGTGTCACAGTCGTGGCCTGAGTGCCCATGTGGAGGTGGAGGGAGCCGACAGGCATCTAGATGAGAAGCCAAAGATGTTGACCAGAAATATTAAACTCTGGGACATAAATGCCCACATCACCTGCTGTCTGTGCAGTGGGTATCTCATCGATGCAACCACAGTGAGGGAGTGTCTGCACACGTTCTGTCGGAGCTGCCTAGTCAAGTACCTGGAAGAGAACAACACCTGCCCCACCTGCAGGATCGTTATCCACCAGAGCCACCCACTGCAGTACATAGGTCATGACTGGACCATACAAGGCATTGTTTACAAGCTGGTTCCAGGCCTACAGGAGGCAGAAATGAGAAAACAGAGGAGATTCTACCACAAATTGGGCATGGAGGTGCCTGGAGACATCAAGGGGGAAAGTGGTTCTGCTAGGCAGCACTTGGATCCCCATGGAAACGATGAAACCAAAGCAGATGAGAGTTCCAACAAGGAGCTGGCAGAGGAGAAGCAGGAGGAGGATAGCGACTACCACTGGAGCGACGAGCAGGTGAGCATCTGCCTGGAGTGCAACAGCAGCAAGGTGCGGGGCCTGAAGCACAAGTGGATCTGCTGCTCCACCCAAGCCACCATGCTGCACCTGAAGAAGTTCATCGCCAAGAAGCTCAACCTCTCCTCCTTCAACGAACTGGACATTTTATGCAACGAGGAAATTCTGGGCAAGGACCACACACTCAAGTTTGTGGTTGTCATGAGATGGAGATTCAAGAAGATGCTTCTCCTGCTGCACTACAGACCCAAGATGGACCTGCTGTGACACCCCAGACTTGGCTCAGGTGCCGTGAGCACAGGGCGCAGGACTGTGGCGCCTGTGGAAGAGGCCTCAGGTGTCCTGGGACCAGACTTCTGACTAGAGAATACTTATCACTTTTGTACGAGAGAATTCCCACTCAGCAAGCCACCACCAGCAGCACGGTGACCAGGTGGTGACACACGGCGCAGGCTCCTGCGGCTGACCCGGCCCAGCGTCCCTCTGATCCGGCCTCCGCCTCTTTCCAGGTCTTCAAAATCTCGGTCATTTCGATTTAGTTTATGAATTAGGTTTCATGATAAGCCTCAAAAACATTTGTATGTTTATTGAATCCTTACTAAGTTACTGAAAACATATCTTTTCATGGTGAATGACAATTTTTACGTTGCCTTTAGCTTCCTGAAGACTTAGAAGATCTATAAAAGTTTCATTTGAAAACACACCAGAAGAGATTGCCATTCATATCCTCTGTTAACCATGGTGTTTGAGGCCCCTGTTGTGAAACCTGATGGAACCACAGCTCCCACCCCCTGTTCTCTGGCTCCAGCGGCCTGGACACCTGGGACATGGTGCTGGTTTGCAGAACAATCTTGTTAAAAATCACTATTATTGCCCTGGCCGGTTTGGCTCAGCGGTTGGAGCGTCGGCCTGCGGTACAGAGAGACCCGGGTTCGGTTCCCGCTAAGGGCACGTACCTCGGTTGCAGTTTGTCCCCGACCCTGGTTGGTCGTGCAGGTGGCAGCCACTCGATGTGTCCCTTCACATCGATGTTTCTCTTTCTCTCTCTTCCTCTCTCTCCCTCCTCCTCTATCTGAACAAAAAATGGAAAAATGTACTCGGGTGAGGATAAAAAAAAAATCACTATTATTATGAAATAGGGCACCAGTCCTTCAGTGCCACTGTTTACTCTCCTCCTTCCTCTTCCCCGTATTAACTCTGCTGAAGGGGGAGCTGGTGGCCTATGGGGACTTTGCAGACACCAGGACCCCCACATCTATACACCTTTTAAAGGGGGACAGCACCCAGCCCTCCTCTCTGCCCTATGCTTGTGGGGGAGGTTCTCACCGAGCATCACAGGTCAGGGTCTCCAGCGGAGGTGCTAGGGACTAGCACTCCTGTGCAGAGGTGGCTTCACCTACTTAATGATCTAAAACAGCCACTGGTGACACTCACTTTCTAACCCCTTTCTCCTCCCAAATGTTAATCTTTTGTGGAATTAGAGAATACACATTTTGCCCGCACACAAATATGTGTTCCTTTAAAATAGTATCTTGGAACATGTGAAGGCGAGATCAAGGAGAAAGACCCATGTCCCAGTGATTGCAGTGTTGTCTTGGAGCTTGGGTCACCCTTTGTCCCATGAGGTCTTGGTGACCTTTGCACTCCCGTCCTGTCACCTGACTGTCAGGGATGAGAGGTTCTGGGGCCATCAGCCCAACCCCACCCCCTGCAGGCTGGGTTTTCCATGAAGTATTTTACTTCAGTGACCAGAAATTTTCTTAAATTTGCTCCGGAAGACATGATTGGGCTCATCGACCTGCTGTGTGTGCATAGGTGTCAGAAGCAGCCACCAGTGAGCCCAAATTGTAGAGAAACTTCAAATTAACTCAGTCCAAGCAATTTTAATAAAAGACCTTTTAAAAACATCACAACATATTGTTCAGGAATCAGTCAAAATTCACTCTTTATTTCAGCCCCTTACCACCCAGTTCTGTTCAGAGTGTCTCGTTACCTAAGCTTGCTATTCATCTAAATCATTTTTAGTTACTCTTCGAGGTATTAACAACTAGATGTGCTTGAGTAAATATGACCTGTCTACCTCAAAACGCACATTATTGCTGGCGCACCTGTCCAATCACAGAGGACCACGGTGTGGTCTCTGGGTGGCTTTAGGGTGCAGGGATTTCCCCTGGGGTGAAGTGAGGGTGTGAGCAGTGTGAACGTCCAAATTCAAACAAAATTGGTTCCAGCTCAGACTCAGTCAAATATGTCTGTAACCATCTCCTGATGTATACCTGTAACTTTGTAGCTCTCTTTGAAATCACTTGAATTTGCTATGGTGCTAAGTCAATACATTTAAATATACAGTGAGATGGAGGTAGGCCGGGTGGGTCCACACCACTGGCTGCCGACCGCTCTGGTGTGATCCCGCTTTTGTGACCGTGTTAACCTGATGGAACCTCAGCAGCAGAAGTACCTATTTTTCTAAGATTTCCTCGTGTAGACTGTCCACACAGGACGGTCCCTGGGACCTGCCCCTGGTCTGACTACAGCCTTGCCAGGACAGCTGGAGCTGCATAGAGGGGCTCCAACTCGACATCAACAGGTTGAATTTTGTTTTTTCCAGCATGAAAGTCAGGGTCGGTGAGTGATGGGATCCTGACAGGTGGATTACTGTGAAGTAGTGCACGTGTATCTGCAGCTGGACGGTGGCTGTCCGTGACCATGCCTTCTAGCAGCAGTGGACTCACCGTGAGGTTTTCATGGAACAGAAAGTTCAGATAGAATATATAATATGGAATTTAAGAGTTGGGAGGTTAAAAAAAAAAAGTTAACTTTATAAAATTATTTATTCTATTTTAAGCCTTCTATCCTATTTTTCCATCCAGTTGTTTGGTTCTGTGGCCCTCCTTTATTTACAGGTATATAAGATGAAATTGAAATGTTCTGCAAGCTTCTTTTCCCTTTCAGTAGTTTTAACCTGTATGTTTGTTCACATGGATGGAGATCATTGTTCATGCTCTGTATGCTTTTTGTGCAAGAGGCTCGTCTGCCTTGTAAGTAGCATCTCTCCTGCTACAGAGAAAGGGAATTAGGCGGAAGTTAAATCTGTACATTGAGCTATTTGGTTCTTCCTTCTCCATTTTTACAATAAGAATTCTATGATTGGGGTATTGTGTGTGCCAGTCAGCAACATTGACAAGTGAGTGACTCGGCAGCCTGAGGTTCTGTGGCACCATCCCGACCAGCCACATGCTGTTGTGGGTCTCCTGGCCTCTAATCCTGCGTGAGCAGGCCCTGGACACCACCCTTGTTGACCGCAGATGTGATGGTGACATGTTTCCAGCCCTCGGAGCCCCCAGGGCTGCCTTGGTAGAAGTCTCAAGCAGCCATTCCATGTTCTCAGAGCACACAGGCTGTTCCACTGATCGGAAATGTGACATTGGATTGAATGTTCCCGGAACAAGCCAGCTGACTTCTACATCCTGTGTCAATATTGGATGTGCTCTCAACATCAAAAATAACGTTAGTGCAGATTTTTAAAAAATCAGTTTCTCTATTGCCTCAGGAACCCATGTGTACCCCACACATCCCCTGTGACCTTAGTCCAATAAAGTGTGTCTCTGCCTTGGTTTGGAGTAAACGGAGGGAGTTGGGATAAGTAGAGGAAAAAATGTTCAGGCCGCACCCTCCATCAGGCAGCCTGTGGGCAGGGAGGGTGGCCAGGTCCCCATAGCAGTGTCCTGTGGGTGTAGCCTCAGTGCAGATTTCTGTTCTGAGAGCTCACTGGGTGTGAGAAAACCACATTCCCCGGGAGGTGTGGTTTCAGGGGGAGCTCGCCATGAAGCCCGATTCCCTCGTGGCACTGCCACAGGTTATGAAGATGACAATGCAGATACATATTTGTCACTGTTTAATTTGAAATTTTACATTTTTTATGCTTTGTGTTGGTGTGTAATTTTTGTACTATTGGTGGATAGTTTTTGTCTAAAATCTTTGTTGTAATACTGCTTAAATGTTTTGATTTTATGACAGTGAAGCTTGTATTCATGTTTTGCCAATTAATATTATATGCTTGTAATAAAAGCAAAAGAAAAACTTTTAAAAAATAAATTAAAATGTAATGCTTTGGAAGCTGTGTGTCATTCAGGAACCTTCCTGGAGACATCTAGTTAATAATACAAAACAGCCAAGCAAGGGTTGATTCAAGTGATTCAGAAAAAGGGGAAGCCAAAGAAGGGAAGAAATGTCAGTAAACACTGAAGCATTTAAACAGATCTCAGGCTGATCAATCAGAGGTGTCTGACAGGAGGCCCTGGGTCCAGATGTCAGAGCCACTTTGAGTTGGGGATTTAGATTTGGAAGGGGGCAATAAGAGCTGAAATGATGGGAACAGATGAGATCATTCTGGGAGAGTGGGTGAACATGAACAATAGATATCTGAAGAACACCAAAATTGAGTGGGAGGGGGTAGACAGAGTAGGATCAGTGAAGGAGAATGAAAAGGGAAAGGACAAGAGCCTGAGGAGGAAGTGTCATGCAGATTCAGGAAAAAGTGTTTCAAGTAAGATGTCACATGCAGTGGAGGGGTCAGAAAGATGAGTCCTATTGTAAATTATGCTGCAATGAACATAGGGGTGCATGTATCTTTTCAAATCAGTGCTTTCCTTTTCTGTGGATAAATACCCAGAATTGGGATTGCTGAGTCCTATAGTGGTTCTATTTTTAAATTTTGAGGAACCTCCATACTGTTTTCCATAGTGGCTGCACCAGTCTGCATTCCCACCAACAGTGCAGGATTCCCTTTTCTCCACATCCTCACCAGCACCTGTTGTTTGTTGATTTATTGATGGTAGCCATTCTCACTGGTGTGAGGTGGTATCTCACTGTGATTTCTATTTGTATTTATCTGATGACTGAGCATCTTTTCATATGTCTATCGGCCATCTGGAGGTCTTGGAAGAAATGGCTATTCAGGTCCTCTGCCCATTTTTTTTTTCTTTTTATCAAAGTTTTTTTTTTTTTTGGGGGGGGGGGTGTTGTATGTGTTACTTACATAGTTTGGATGTTGACACCTTATTAGATTTATCATTTGTAAATATCTTCTCCCATAAACTAGGGTGTTTCTTCATTTTACTTCACTGTGCAGAATTATTTTAGTTTATTTTAGCCTTAATTTTTATTTTTTATTTTATTACCCTTGTCAGAGGAGACATCCACAAATATATCATATTGACCTCTGTCAAAGAGTTTATTACAATGTTTTCTTCTAGGACTTTAATGGC